TAAAAAAGTAATTAATGTTTGGTGAGTTCGGATTTTCTCCCTTTTCTTCCATTTCTAGTCTAAGTATTCTATCCAAGATATGATGTTGACATGGTACAAAATGAGGTTTTTGTAATCCTTTTTTTTGAAAAATGTCCTGAAGTTTTACAACATCACCATTTTTCTTTCCGGTATTGACATTTGTAGTATCTGTCACAATCATTTTAATTGAATTCCATAGTTTAAATTCATCTATAATATCAGCTATGGCATTAATAATAGTGATAGATTTTCCATCTATTAACTTCAGCACCCAACTTTATTTCGCTTTCATTTTTAAGAACGACAACCTGATACTCCCATTGGTCTATATGCTTTCCATCGAAGTGTAGACTCCAATTCTCATTCTTTAAATCTTGAATTAAAGTTTCTTTAAATTGTTTTGCTTCATTAAAAAGAGCCTTGTATATTCCAGACTGTGATGGCGCTGGAACATGTATGCCTTCTGAGGACAGTATTTTACCTATTTTAGAAGCTTTCTTAGTTGATACCTTAGCACAAACCACTAACTTTGTTGCTATTTTACAACTACTATATTTTTTACGTCTTTTCTTCAAATTATTATATTCTTCATCTGTAATTTCATTATCTATCTCAAATTGTTCATCAGTTTCTTCAAATTCGGAACTAGAGTTGTCTCTTTCTATTTTACTACTTTCAGTAAATGAAGAAAAACTTTTAGATGCTGAAGGTTGGCTGGAAAGTTTTTGCACAATTGGTGGATGAATAGTCTTCTTTCCTGCCAGCTTTGAAGTAGCATATCCAATTTCTTCTTTGCTTTGTAACTGAATTTCATAAAATCTTTTATCTTCAGATGATAACCAAATGCCATTTTGATTTGTTATATCAAAAATCTCTTTTTGCAGAAGGTCAGCATTCCCTTTTTTTCTGAGACTTTCATATTTTTCTATAACATCATTAATCTTTCGCTTCACTGACTGCTCTGTCAGACATGGGAAATTTAATTGTTCTTTCCACAAACTTAAAGCTTCTTCTGAAATGAGATCTATCCTTTGCTTTTTGGCTTTCACATCAGTACTAGACAAATACTTAAACCTGCTAACAATATCACTTTTTAATGGCATTTTGGAATATTCTTGAAAAGATGTTTCTAACATTGGAAACTGTCTACTTTTATGCGAATCTTGAAATTTCACAAGATTTTTTTTTATAAGTCTCTTTATTTTTTTCAACACTTGATTGGCAGTATTTGTATGCCATTTTAATTAAAAGCAGCACAAATATTTTATTATATATAATATAATAATATAATATAATAAAGTATATATAGAGGGTTATGACTTCTTTAACTTATGTTTTCTGGCCCATATGTAATATGTATAGTATATTATATTCCTATCTATATTGTATTAAAAAACATTTCAGCCAAGGGGCGTGACATTTTTTTACACTTGAAGGAAAATAAACATTTCTTCATTGTTTTATAGCAAAAACTCATCCAAAAATAATATGGGATTGTCCAAATTGTATAAAAAGTTAAAAAAGTCATATCCCTAATATATATATATATATATATATATATATATATATATATATATATATATATATATATATATATATATATATATATATTATATATATATATATATACATATATCAATCTTATCAGTGTGTTCCATCTGCATGTCAGATTTTTTACCTGTCTTATCTCTTTGACACTATAACCATCTGAGTTGGAATTTTTTAAGTAAAAATTGAGGTGCAATTTATGTGCTTTATTTTTACAACTTTTTGGGGAAGTACACACAGACAAAACATTCTCACATAGAAGTATTGTCAGAGGGCATGTGATGAGGTCCATAAGTTTATTTAACATCAATATAAGTTCTTTGTTTAATTTTACTTTAGTTCTTCCCCGTGCATCGTTTTCTACTTTAGCTAAGAGTTTTTATTCGATATTATAGCAATTTCTCCTTAATAATACATGGCTATTGAAACTTAACATTTGTTTTTCTCCATTGAGCAAAAACAATTTCAATAAAATACTTTTTCCAATAACTGCTCTGTACTAAATAATTAACTCACTAAATAAAGGAATAAAATCCTTTTCAGGTGCGAAAGTGTTTGATGAAAGTCTAGTCTTAGTTTTTGAATTTATGAATAACTTGATTAAATAACAAGTAACAAATTAAATAATAACAGACTATGATCTTATAAAGATTTTAAACGGTGGAGAGCTAGTTCAAAATCTTTTTTAAAATTAATCAAGTACTGCTCTCTTTATGAGAGTCTAATAAATAAAAAATGGGTTATATTTATTTTTTTTATATTTATTTAACGAGTTATATTTAACTATTTAATTTTACATAAGAATTTTTTCACTTTTTTCTAAGCTTAAATTTTATTTTTTTTAAAAACATTAAAATCTTCATGTTATATGCAAAGCCTGCACTATATGTTTTATGTAAATTCTACATTACGTGTTATACTAGCTGACCAGACCCATTAAAATACTGGTTTTTTCCAAAAAAAGTCCAATAAGTTTTTGTTTTTTTTTAGCAGGTGTTATAAAATTTTTATTAATTTTCAGACCATAATTTTTTTTCAGACCATCCGCAGCTTATTAGGACTAATTACCTGAGCACATTAATAACATAAGTATCTCTATTATGACATAAGCGCAACAAATTTCTACTGGTGATGAAAATTTAAGCTTTTTTAAAAATTCTCTCCCTTTCATTTGTTATAGTGTATAATATCTTTACATATGTTATGTATATAATATCTATAAAACTTCTAAAGTGTTTTATTTTGTATTTAAAAAAAAATCAAAAAAATCCATTTGAAATAAAAAAAAAGGTGCCTGTTGTAGGATTTGAACAACAGAGCTTTGCATCGAAAACTCTGCAAGCTAACCATTTCCTCATTAAGGTGTTTTCTACAACAAATGTTTTTATTGTATTGTAGCAAAAGACTTTATAAAAAGTAAAATAAATGCTATATGTATTTTCAAATGAAAGTAAAACTGTAATACTTGATGTATGTTTTAACATTACATATTTTGAAGTTTGCATAGGTTTGATATTTACATACACTTTCGTTCACTTTTTGTTTTCTTATAAAAAAAAAAGACTGCGACTTTTTCTCGCTATTATTTCATTTGCAATGGCCTATGTTTAAGTTTGTTAGTTATAGTTCATTCAGGGTTTTCGGATGTAAAGCAGAGGATAAACTTTGTTTGGATTTTGTTTAGAAGAAAAAGAGCATCATTAAAAGAACCAACCCAAATATGGTAATATTATTCCATACTAGAATGAATAAGAGATTTGTATTTATGAATGGTAATCTACTTTATGGGTCATCTACCCTTCGTCTTCTAGGATTAACTCTTACTTCCAATCTTTATTGGAAACAATATACCAAAACAATTGCAAAATTAGCATCTGTTTAGGTTGCATCTCTTTATCGTGCTCGCCACATGTTACTCTGGATTCTATTCTTTATATCTATAAATCTCAAATCCTTCCTTGTATGGAATACTGTTGCCATATCTGGGGTATATCTTCGAACGATGCCCTTCCTTTTACAAACAAGGTCAAAAAATGCATTATAAACATAGTTAGACCTGCTCTTGCCGCCAACCTTCAACCATTGTCATATGGTTGTATTTTTGCTACTCTTTTCTCTTTTCTTTAATACTATAATGGTTGCTGCTTTAAAGAGCTAGTGTCTCTTATACCATCTACTAAATTCATTCTTGTGTTACTCATTATTCAATTAAGTCTCATCCTTTTACTGTGGCTATTTCTAAGTGCTCTGAAATTTTTTTTTTGTCTAGTTTTTTTTTTCCTTGAACATCAGTTCTTTGGAATTCGCTCCCTTCATCTTGTTTTCCTGATTCATATATTTTTCAATCTTTTAAGTCATCTGTTGATCATTATCTTGCTTCATAAACTTCATCTTTTTTCTTCTAGTTACTTTTGAATCTAGTAGCCTTGTTGGAAGTAAAGATATTTAGAGAAAAAGAAAAAAAAAAAAAGACAGCAATATAACTTTTTCTTTCACTAATTCTCTCAGAGACAACATAACAACATTTGTTCTTTAAGATTTTGTTTTAAAAAGAAATAATTTTATCAGATTTTAACTCATTTTTTCCAGTACCATTACTTCTAATTCTACAACATCAAGGCCTGAATAATAGCAGAGATATTATCAACAGCGCTGAAACTTTCTTCAATCCACTGTTTTTCATTGTCATTATCACTATATCCAAAGGTTTCATTTTTCAAACTCAAGCCAAATTCATTTAACTTCAAATTCACTAGTAGAAATTTAAAACCTTTTTTCCATTTAATTTTTTTTTTACTCCTAAGCATTTTTTTAACTCAGTTGAGTTTGTAGAACAGAACAACTTTTTCCAGATGACATTGGTGGTCAGCTTACTATACTGCTGCTGCAATTCACTATTTTATTTGTTTCTTAAAGGAAACATTCTTATTGATGTCAAAAAATGCCAATTTATTTATATTTTTTTAAATAATTTTTGTGAAATATTTTTTCCTCATTTGGTTAGAAAACAATAAAGGACATCAGTAAATTTTAGTTCTTATTATGAAGGTTTATTTATGAGAAAAACTTTATTATAACAGAAAATGTATCTGTTTAAAAAAGTTATTTTTTTCTCTCTTTTGATATTCTAAATGTAAAATAATTCAGTTTAAAAACAGGTTAGGTGATGATAAAGTTAGAAAGTACCCATTACTGGTGTAAGTGATGCTAACCAATTTTTTAAGCCTTTACTTAATTCTGATTGGATTGTTAGTTGGTAATTGGTTGTCCCAGTTTATTCCATTTCTTGGGTTTGACAGCTTGGCCTAGTTTTTTTATGCAAATATTTGCACTTTCTTAAGTTTCTGGCCAGTAGTTAAGTCAGCTATTTATGTCCAAGTTAAACAAGTATTAAATAGTTTAATATTTCATTAAAATTTAAAATGTTTTAGATGTTACTTTTACCAACAGAATGTGAATCAGGAAATACCATGTTAACACCAACTTTACTATACTTTTTATGCACAAGACTTCCAACGTGTTACATTCGAATGGATAACAAATTTAACGATATTAACAAGGTTTTAGTTATATTTCTTTTGGTGGTGTATTTTTGTAATTTGTTGGATTTCATTTGTAGTTTTTTGGTTTTAAAAATTAATTTTTACTTTTAAGTATTAAATTAAGGGGTTATTTAATGTTAAGGAGTTCTTCGTGTTTTTCAAATTCTATGAATTATTAGAATATATATAATTGTATTTCACACACACTAACACGCACACACATGCTCACATACCACACACACAGAATTAAATCCCAGTCACTCAAACAATTTTGTTTGGGATGTACACAATTAAAATAGATTTAATTCTTAAATCTATTTTAATTGTGTACATCCCTTTTAAATACTGTTTTAAAAGGTTTAAACAATTATTTTCATATATTGTTTTCTTTTATTTTTATTTTCATTTTTAAATTATAGGTGTAAAAAAAGCCTAATAGTATTAAATTTTTAGCAAAACTTTTTTGACAGTTTCCACAATCCTCTTGTAACTTTTTAAACAGCTGAAATAACTTTTTAATTGGCCACTGTCGATAAAAACAATATATATTTTATGGAACGTTTTTGAATATTTAAGTTTTTAAATAATTTAGTATTTTAAAACTAAAAATTTTTATGTACTTAAAAAAAATTTGTGGAAAATTTTATATAGATATTCGTATTTTTGTTTATCTAAATTTATATAATTTTTATCATTATATAAATTTTTATGTGTAAATTTTAATTAAATTTATAGTGATTTAAAATTGCATTAAATATTTAAAACTTTAAACCAATTTTAAAAATAAGCAAAAAAAATTATTAAAATCGATAGCTTTTAAATGAGACAGTTTTCGATAGCTCGATAGCTTTTAAATGAGCAACTTGATTGACTTGCTGTATATGGTCATACAGAATGTTAGTTAAAATAACTTTTGTTGCAATGTGCTATTTTAGATTTAAATAAGCAACAAAAGCATTTAAGGGGTGGAGTGCCATTAATTCACCACACAAGGGCAGCAAGTAAGTTTAATTAGCCCATTAAAATATCTAGTATATTAGGTATTTCAATAAAAATAATAATTTTTTTAAAATTTAAATGCTTAAATTGAGAGCAAAAAAAAATTTTTTCAAATTTACTTAAATCAAATTTATGTAATTTTTGTATTTGTAAATTTAAAAAAAAATTAGATTTTGTATTTATAAATATTATTTTTTAAAATTAGACTTTTGTAAATAAAATAGAAAAATATTTCGAAAATTTATGTATATTTATATATCTCCTTTTATGTTTTACTCAAATATAACATAAATGATACGTTTCATTATAAGGTTCACTTTTTTTTCAATTTTTTTGTTGTTACTATTTTTGGTGTATTTTACCAGCAAATTTAGTTTTCCGAAAAGTAGTTTTAACTCGTTTAATATAAAAATTTTAATAACTTATTTTAAAGTATATTATTTATTATATATTAACATGCAAAGATTTTTGCAACTTTCTTAACTTGGAATAAACAGCAAAAATGTAAATAAAAAGTTTTTGAATAGTAAGAATAGATTTAAAAAAAAAACTTATTAATTAGAACAAATTGAAAAATCTAAACTAGAGAATAACTTTAAATTTAAATTTAAAAATAAAGTTTTTTTTTACTTTTGAATGAATGATGTTGCTTGTTAATGACAATGCTCTTTTTAACATAAAAATCAATCAACTTAATTCTTCGTTGCGCATACTAATAACGTTTTCTACTTGTGTAGCATGACACTTTAAATCTGAGATTGATATAGGTTTTTTTTACTTTGATCTTATGAACTTTTGCTGGTTGAGTTGGTGAATGTGACATGCCATGTTTGTAAGATAAACATGCTCTACATTTTCTACAAAACAGCAGGGATTCAAAATTTAGTTGTTACCAATTCAAAAAATATTTAAATTGATAACATGATAACACTTCATTCCAACTTAAAAAGGTGTTACAAAGAAGTTCAAAGCTGTTTTGTCATGGCAGATTATTTTTTTTTATGGCAGATAATAGGAAGATAATTTATTCAAGTAAATGCATTGCTTATATAATACTGAAATTTTAATTAAATAAAGCTTTATTTAAAAAAATGGTATTTTATTTTTTTAAATAAAGCTTTTTAAAATAATTTTTTTTTTAAAAACCATGCTTTTTGGGATTTTCTCAAAATCCCATGGTTTTTGATTTTTTTTTTTTTTTTTTTTTTCAACCTTGTATATAGTTCTATAAATTGTTGGTTTTGAAAGTAGAGAAGATTCTTTAAACAACAAATTTTGTTTATAGTTACTTATGAATTCTTTTATTTAAATTAATTTACTTCTTTATTTTTATTTTTACCTAAAAACCAAAACCAATAAATTAATTGCAAATGAAACATTTTTCAAATTACCACAAAAATGCAAACTTAATTGACTTAAATCTTCTTTTTTTTAATGCATGTTTTTTTTGTTTTTTATTTTGCTTTTTTTTTTATACAGGTTTTTTTTCCAATTTTATTTGTTTTATTTTTATTTATTTATTTAGTGTACATACATCTTTTAGTGTATATATTTTATATATATATAAACATATATACATATTGTATATATTTGCATACATACATACATACATACATACATACATACATACATACATACATACATACATACATACATACATACATACATATATATATATATATATATACATATATACAGGCCTTGCGATAAAGCGTCGGGCGATGTGAATTTTATGTCGTCCAAGAGCGATTTTGTGTGTAGCTAGGGCTATTTGCGTCGAGCAAAAAAATTTTTTTTTAAAGATATTTTTTAGCGTAATTTTAATGAAGTAATTTACGATTGTTTTAACATTAAATAAAGTATTTTAAAAACCGCACGCAGTTGATATAAAAGTTTGAATTGCAAAAAAATTAAATATGCTCATTATTTACAAGTAGAAAAAATTTAGATTAAAAAAAACATTTAAATCTTTTTAAGCTAACATTATAATAAAATTATTCAGCAATAGCAAAGTTGTCGATAAAACTGAACAAAAATACTTTCTTTTAGTTTTTTAACTTAAATAATTATTTTACAGGGGTTTGTTAGGTTTTAAAATTATTCCATAGATTTAAAAATATTTATTAACTGTTAGACGTATTTAAAGTATTTAAGAGTAATTTCGAGGAAACATTTTAAAAATTGGTAAGCGCAAATAAAAAAAAAATAAAAGGAATAATATTAAAGCGTATTCTACTTGATTCAATAAAAAAGTACAGCTACTAAAATTTTTGTAAAAAGTAACTCGAAAAAAATTACTTAATAACAATCGCTTTTTTGTTAAAAGTTACCGAAACTCAACGAAGCGTGCTCAAGAACAGCTGCTTAAAAATAGAACGTCAATAGTTTTTCGAATAGTTTTTAATAATAATTTTTAAGAATAATTTTTTCGCTGAAATATGTCTTTTATACCTATAAGATTTTTATTCTAACATTTTATTTTATTTTACCAAAAATAAAATTCCTTGTAAACATTAAAAATCTATTCAAAACGTTCGTTAAAGTTTTTTAGTAATACGAGTGATTGTGCTTATCAACTGCTTTATGAAAATAAATACAAATAAATAAATTAATATAATATTTTATATAATATTTTTTTTTTTATAAATTAATAAAAAAAAAAATATTATATAAAATCGCTACTAAAAATATTAGCTATTGCATAGTTTTTAATCGTACAATATTAAAATTTCCAGTTTATTACTCGCTGACTTTTTAAAAAGAAAAAATAATTATTTGAAAAACTTTAAATTACATATTTGAGAAAATCAAATATTAGCATATTTTATTATCTTTTTTAAATGTTTAGTTATAATGTTTTTTATTCGTTTAGTAGACAAAAGGTGTCAAACGTCTAGAAAATAAACAAATGTTTTCACTTTTTAAAAAACGAAACATTCCAAAACATTTTTAAACAATAACATTTCTACATTAATGATTTAAAGTAGTTTTGCGGTAATTAAGTAAATTGGTGCAGTTAATATCGATAAATATGAAAAGCAAATAAAAAGAACTTAATGACGTCAAAAATCACGTCGTGCTTATGCGTTGCGCAGTTTTTATTCATCACAAGGCCTGCCAAAGAGTCTTAAAGGTAGACCGATTATTGCCGGAATAAATTGGCCAACATCTCAGTTTTTACATATGATTTTATCACTGATTATAAAGAAACAAAAATCTTTCATTAAAGATGACTGGGATTTCCTCAGAAAAATTCTAAGAGATTTTGAATCAAAAAGTTGTATAATGACATGCAACATTGTTAACCTTTAAACAAGCATTCTACATTATCTTGGTTTAGAAGCCCTAAAGTTCTGGATATTTAAATATAAAGAATTGATAGATAAAAGATTTACGCTTGAGTTCATAATTGAGTCAGCATCTTTTATTTTAAATAACAATAATTTCATATTTGATAAACAGTTATTTCACCAAACAACTGGTACAGCCATGGGTTATTGGATTATTTTACATAAGTTGTTGCATTAATAAGGTTAGTAATTGTTAAAGTATCGAAAAGAAAAATTTATGTGGATCAATATAAAAGCCGGAATAAATTGGCCAACATCTCAGTTTTTACATATGATTTTATCACTGATTATAAAGAAACAAAAATCTTTCATTAAAGATGACTGGGATTTCCTCAGAAAAATTCTAAGAGATTTTGAATCAAAAAGTTGTATAATGACATGCAACATTGTTAACCTTTAAACAAGCATTCTACATTATCTTGGTTTAGAAGCCCTAAAGTTCTGGATATTTAAATATAAAGAATTGATAGATAAAAGATTTACGCTTGAGTTCATAATTGAGTCAGCATCTTTTATTTTAAATAACAATAATTTCATATTTGATAAACAATTATTTCACCAAACAACTGGTACAGCCATGGGTTATTGGATTATTTTACATAAGTTGTTGCATTAATAAGGTTAGTAATTGTTAAAGTATCGAAAAGAAAAATTTATGTGGATCAATATAAAAGCTGTTGTACAGATTTTTATTTACTAAATGAGTTTTTGTCTGTTACAAAAGATTTAATTTAACTGAACCATGGATCAGTATAACACCACCACTTCACAAACTGATTGGTCGTTCTTGGAAGCTTATTTTGAATAATGAGGAAAGTGGTTTGGGCAATCTTTATGATTCAGGGTTAAAAGATAATAATAAAATATTAAGATTGATACATACTAAACTCTCACGAAAAAACTCCTTAATTGTCAATTTAACAAACACCATTAACTAAATGTGGATATCATTTGATCAAATTATTTTTGACAAGAGATACAAGTCAAAACTATTCTGCAAAATTTTGGTATGAATAAGGACATTCTGATAAATATTGTCATAAATAAAATATCTCTAATAACATTTTATCTGAAGATAACACATATTTTAAAATGTTAACATATGAATAAATTATGTGTTTTAGTACTTCTTTTGATAATTTTTATTGTTTTTGTAAATGATGTACCTATGTTATCTTTGTATTACAAAATATACATACATATTTATAAACATTTATAAGTATTTTTGTTATAAACAATGAAAAAGCAAATTTTATGAAAATTTTAATATTTTGTTCTTTTAAATTATGACCTAGATATCCTGCAGCAGAATTATTTTTTAGTTTTTCCAAAATTTACACATAAAAACCTTTCCAAAAAGTCCTTAATCAACCCCATAGCACTTTCCATTCAAAAGTTGAACAAATGTCTGTGAAAACAGCTGTTTGGCCCACTGTGTATCTGCTTTTATAGCTTTTATCAGACTTTTCTTTGTATCACTCGACCAGAACAGTCCTAATCATAAAAAAACATTTTAAAACTTACCAAGAAAATTAAATCTTGATTTTTAAAATATTTAAACATTTTCAGAAAACAATAATTTTTAACAAATAAAGAAATATTATTTTTTAAAAGATTGATAAATAACCTCTCACTGATCTCACTAATTGCACATGTGATTGAATATACCCTCTCTGACTCTTATGCTGGCTCTTCTTAAGGTTCAAATATCTGTCAATATATTTTGATATAATCCTTTGAAGGGTAGCAGCTCCAATCATGGGAAAACCTGACCTTACCATGGAAATCATAGTGAGCCTAGAATACATTCCTCATTGCAAGGAGAATCCACTGAGGTACACTGCACACTAAAGCATATATAATTTTTTTTTATAAATCTTTCCTCAGTTGCATACCAAAAATAAAATAAAATTGCCTTTACAATTTTTTAATAAATAATATTTAAGGAAATTATTTTCAATATTTGCTTACTATGAAAAAAAAGTTGGTTCTTTAGGTTCTTTATAAAAAGTTAACTGAAGCTGTTACTTAAAGGACAGGAAACAAGTCGCAAAGTCTCAGAAGTTGGACTATTCTTCTCCTTCAGGTAGAGGAAGTGCTTAACTGAGGACATTTTGACTGGTTTGCCAACTAAGAAGTATTCCTTTGTACTACCACTTTCTTTCCTTTTCCTTGTATGTTTTGGAATTTCGTCTTATTCAGGTTACCATTTCTAAAAATAATTTTTAAATTTTAATTTATTAAACAAATTGGATTTATAAATTATGACAAATGCATGAAATAATTAAGATATAAAAAAAAGATTAAACAAATCAAAACTGATTGGTTAGATAAAATGTGTTAATATTGAAAAGTCGAGTACAAATGTTCATAACTTCCATTATGTAAAGGTTATTGTGTACACTTCATTTATGGATAAATTGTTTAGATTATTGCCAGAAAGAGTGAATCCTCAACTCAATCCTGTTCAACTAGGCTAAAATATAAAAATATTAGTATCCTACAATACATAAATTATTGGGTGGGCATGGGGGAGGGGGATGTGGGGAGAGGTGTTTAGAGGATGTGTAATCCCCTCCCAAACTGAAAGATTGTAATTGTAACAAAATAATATACATTTTAATTATGCATGGGACTAACATTGAATTGATAGTCCTATTAGTACTGAAGTCAAGTTGGTACACTGCCCTCCCCCCCTCATGGGGGAAAACAGCTGGAACTAAATGGCTATATTTATTTTTAAATTGTACAAAATTAACTATTCGTATGCCAGAAGCTACCATTCTCAGTCAAACAACTAGTTTTAATTGCACAAATGTAGATAGTTTCTTCAAAAACCTTGACAGTGTTCAGAAATGCTAGAAATTTTCTGCTGATTGCATTTATGATATTATTGATGGGTTGTTTAAATGCCCTTGGAAATTCTATTCCATCGTTTTTGATATTTCCTCATGTCCGCTTTTGTAGCCATATGATTAAAGGTGTACCAACAGGTACCAGAGGTGATGCTAATCCTAGTGGATGGATAAATACAGAAATTTTCTTGAAATGGTTTGATCATTTTGTGGAGTATGGACATCCTAGCAAGAATCGTTAATTACTTATAAATTACTAAATAATTGACAACCACAAAAGTCATATATTGATTGTATTGATAGATAAAGCTAAAGAAAGTAACGTTGTGCTCTTGATAATGGTACCACATTGCAGCCACAAACTTCAACCACTTGATAGTATTTGGGCTATTAAATAATATTTTACAGTGTGTGACTTATGGTTAAAGGCATATTCAATTACTCCTATGATGATATAGGACATTTCTGAAAATTTACGGTTAGCTTATGCAAAAGCCTTTACTTTCCAAAACATTCAAAATGGTTTTGAATCAGCTGGCATTTTCCCATATGATGCATATGTTTTTAGTGATGTAAACTTTATATGTTCTTATGTATCTGATTAGCCAATTCCAGCAAATGTCTCTACCTTATCAGCCAGTTTGTCCAACAGTATTTCTTAAGCGGTCTAAAAAACGGTTTCTGTCAGTCTTACTATTGTATCCAATTAGGCAGACTCTGTTTTATTATTTAAGTAATTGGCAAACACAAACATTCCCCACATCATTATTAATTGTATCTGAAGTTATTAATGACAAGAAACAGCAAACCAACATTTCTGCCTACCATTGGACAGCAGAAGAAATGTTATTTCCAAAAGTGGGTGAGAGGGTGACAAAGAGAAAATCTGCAAAAAGAAAATGTTCTAGGTCTCTGGTAATCACCAACGAGAAATGAACTGGTTTATCAGGATGTAAAAAAAAAAAGGAAAATAAAGACAAGAAAAAGCAAAATAGTTAACCTTTGAAACATCAACATAATTTTGACTCAATTTAAACATCTAGAGACCTTTTAGAATGATATCTTATTTTGCTTAAACATAAATATATTTTTTGTATTGGTTGTTATATAAGGGGTTGAATAGACAGAATAAAATAATGCCTACAGATATTTGTTTCTAACTTATCTCGTTTCACCCCAACCGTTATCCTATTTCATCCCGAAATGTGTACTAACAGTGTAACACTAAAAAACCAATGTCTTGAACTTAATTCAATAAAATTAAAACATTTTATTTGTTTTATTTTATTTATTTTTTTAGTGTACATACATCGACTGAAATAATTAGAACATCCACTCCTTGTACACTCCTCACATGTTCTAACTATTTAAATTGATGTATGTTCACTGTGCATACTTAACTGAAATAGTAGAACATGCGAGGAGTGTACATTCATTGACAAAATAAGTTGAACATGCAAGGAGTGCTGCTACATCATTTTAGTGTTGAGGCGAAGGCGATCTTTTTGTTAAAAAAAAATTATAGTCTTGTTTTTTAAGTTATATATAGAAATATATATATATATATATATATATATATATATATATATATATATATATATATATATATATATATATATATATATATATATATATATATATATATATATATCTGGCTTCATTTTCCTAAAAACTTAGTTGTTACCATTTTGTGCACTTTAGTAATTTTTTCACATTTTAGTAATTATTATTGCACGCACCTAAATGCTGTGCGTTTAAGTCCATGCAATACTAATTACTATTTTGCACACTTAAATTTTAACTGTGTATTTAGGAGTACACAATACTTGTTATCATTTTGTACACTTTAATTTTAACTGCATGTTTAGCTGCATAAAATACCAGCTATAAAATACGAGTTAATACAAATTATTATTTTGAAATTGTGCTCAAATCCAGGCTTTTGGTTTTTTTTCAGAAAAAGCCTCTAAAAAATTTTTTTTAATAGATATTATTTACATGTAGATAATGTATTTAATTAATTTATATGTAATTAATAATAATTAAATGGTTATAATTAAGTAAACAAATTGTAATTAAGAAGTTATAAATATAGATTTTAAATTTTAAATAACTTTTTTTAAGGATGCAGAAAATGAAAAATTTTCATGGAATCTTTTGTATGATAGCAACCAGCATGGCCTTAGTTTGAACAGGTGTAAAAGCTGTTTCTTATATAGTCTAGTTTATTTGAATTCAAGTTTTATTTAATTTATTTGCATATTATCAATATATTTTTACTTTTTTAGATTTAAGAGTAAACTAATGAACTATAAAAGCGCAACTATTACCATCTTGAAATTTGTTTCAGGTGTTGTATTAATTTTGGCACTTGATGAACCTTGGAGGTAAACGTTTGAATTATCTTCCTTTGATTAACTTAATATTAATTATAAAACTTTTAATATAAAATAGATCATTTAATAATAGATCAATAATATTTCAATACATTTTTGTTTCTCATTTAAATTTGTTTAGAGATGGGCCTGATAAATATGGTGGTCCATACTGCCAGCTAATTGAAGTGTCTCCTAACTTAAAAGTTATTGAAAGTAGGAAAGCATTGTATAATATTTTAAGGTAGTTTAAAATATTACTTTCTATAATATTTTAAAATTTATAAGGTTTTTTGATTGATTTACTTTTAGCAAACTCATCTATGGTTTATTTAAAAGAAAATAGTCGTAGTATATCAACAGGTTTACATATTGGATGTGATACTAATTCAAAAGTTAAAATTGATAAAGACCTTCAATGTGCTGAACTTAATTATAGGAATTCAGTTAATGAAGTACTAGGGCGTGTTGAGGTTGCTTGTTTTATTTACCATTTTTTTATACTTTTTTTAAATTACTTTTGAAATGCTCTAGTATTTGTATTTTTTTGTTTGTTTTTTTAATTTGTCTTAATATGTTTTTGAAAAAATCATTTTGATTGTTAAAATCTAAAAAATTAAATTTAAAAACTAAAAATTAAAAAATTAGACTAAAATAATTTAATTAATTTTATTCAATGTTATTACTATGTTATAAAGTGTATAAAATTCAATGTTATTACTACGTTATAAAGTGTATAAAATTTAATGTTATTGCAATGTTTTAAAGTGTATAAAATTCAATGTTATTTCAATGTTATAAAGTGTATAAAATTCAACATTATATTATTATCACATATAATGTATATTATTATTACATTCTGTTTATTATTCTATTGATTTATACAAAAGTGAAATATAAAAGAAGTGTCCACAAACAGTAAAACAGAATGAGTCCAGTATTTTCAGAAGTATAGAGTGGATTTAAATCTGAAAACTCATGATTGTGAGCAGAGTGTTTTATTCTTAGGCTACTACTGCTTTTTAGATTAGAGTAGTTTATAAATGTTAGTTAATTAAACGTTAATGATTAGAAAAGTCAATATTCATGATAAAGTATTTGTCATGAATATTGACTTTTCTATAAAAATTAAATTGTAGCCTTCTAATTAAAATTAAGGTTGTCTGGTTTTTTTTTTTTTTTTTTTTTATTACACAGTGATTAGGAAGAATGTAGGGCTTGTGACTTTACCTAACCTCTTTGATTTACTTCAATAACTTTTTATTAATTGTATTAAGTTTGAATTATTATAACATTAAAAAAATTTAAGATTTTTATATAAAAAAGATGTTTTTTTTTACATTTTGTTGATTTCCAAATGTGTTTTTTTACAGACTTGGGGATGTGGAGGAGTAAAGGCCAAACGCAACCAAGAAGACCTTAAAAAATGGGAGCTAAACGAAATAGAAAAACGTAAAAAGGTAAAAAAAAAAATACTTTTCATTAAAACAAAAATATATTAAGACTTTTTTGTTGAATTAAATGAAGTTTTTTATGGTCTTCAAATTTTTAATTTTACAAAAGTTGTACTTAAAGAACTTGTTTTTCTTTCTTTATCATGATTTTTTCTTCATATAAAGTAAATAAGTAATAACACTTTATAGAAAGTAAATAAGTAATAACACTTTGTCGTAACCTATCTAATAACACTTTGTCAATAATTGTGCAGTTTTTTTTTTTTTTTTAATATACTGTTCAGTGCATTTTGTATTTTTATTTTGTGCAGTATTTTTTATACAGTATACTGTTTTGAGGAGATTAACTTTAAATTTTGTAACCAAATCAGGTCTATTGGTTGTGACTTCATATCTGCCAAAGTTTTTCACAAATTCTTTCCATTCAGGATTCACTGTCATAGTGATAAACAAGTTAGATCTCCCATTAAGTAGTGTGTTAGCAAAGTTCATGCATATTTCTTTGATCGCTTGAGTAGTTATATATTACTCATATAATAATATAGTTTTTTGTGAAATCATGTTTGCACTATCTGTAATGTTCTCAACATGATGTAAATTATTCACTCTGGTTAATTTTTTTTTCTGATTCTGATAATACCAATTCAGATACTTTTTTAGGTATTTAACAACTACATATTCCTGAAACAATCTTCTTGCATGCAATATTGTATTGTAATACATATTGTAACCACATACATGTATTTGTAACCTTAGTTGCTCTTGAAGTATTTTATGTATTCTTTTTAGCTAGAATGCAAAAACACAATTATCCTTTTTTTTTCAATTTTATCACACATTCCTTAAATGGACATCCTTTTTCTCTTGTTCATTTTACTTTAGGTCCTATTTCTTCTTTCGTTAACATTTATTCCTTAGTAAATCCATTGACTCTTCTCATTTCGGAATACCATTGGCCTAGCAACACTCAATCCCACAGGGCTAGCAATACTGAATCTAAGCCAATATGAGTTTTCTTTTACTAAGTGTCTCTAATCCTTCAATGCGGTAGTGGTGTAGTGGTAAAACACTTGCTTCATAAGCGAGAGGTTCCGAGTTCGATCCCCATTACGTCCCTGGTAGTACCGCGCTCAACTTGTTTCTCCACACAGCAGCCTTGTTCGTCAAGGTTTGTGTTTTGGAGTTATAGAGTTGAGAGATATTTTTTAAAAATATAATAAGCAAAACAGTGTTAAGTTGCTAATATAATTAAATAAGAAAGTCCATTTGTATTTAGACTAAATAATAATAATAACAATTTAAATAAAACAAGTAGAAGAAGAAATGAATAATTTTGAGAACATAAATTATTTTGCTAATAATTTTTGTTGGTAATGTTTTTAATAATTTTTTTTAGTAATGTTTTGATCAATATATATGTATCTGTTTGCATTTTCCCTATGTTTGAAATTGAAAAATAATTTGATATATCTAATTTTCTCATTCTATGATTTTCATCAGAACTCATAATAATAATAATAATAATGTTTGATTTAATTTGCTTTATAGAAGCACTATTTATAGGTAGTGTGGTAGTTTATTAAGTATAGAAGATTATCATTTCGCATGACAAAATAGAAGTAAGATAAGTTAGTAGTATTTATAAAGTACTCATTAATTTTTTTTAAAGATAGACTAAATATAGATCTGTGATATACATTATCAATATTTTTTTATTTCTTTGGTTACTGAAAACTTCTTTATAGTGATTTTATGACATGTTAGTTTTTTGTTTTGCATTTTAATGTACAATGGTCGCAATTAGCATCTTTTTCATCAGCTCTACTTTTAAATTATAAAAGAAAGGTCAGATTTAAGATCACCTGCTTGTTTTAAACAGTCAAAAACCTTATTTCAAAGTGGTTACCACTTTGAAATAAGCTACATACCTTATTTCAAAATGGTAACATTTTAACTTGAATAATGGTACTGCTTCTATTGTCAGGTGCTTTAGTACAACAATTTCTATATAAATTATTGAGATTTAATTGTTGATATTGTTAATAGTAATAGTAATATAATAGTAAGTTAATAATAATTAAAAAAATACTATTAAACAGTTTTCATGGCGTGTTAATATTTGTAGCTCTTGTAAATATTGAGCACTTTTCAAATTAATGAAAAGTGCTCAATATTGTCATGCGAAACGAATATTGAGCACAATCAAATTAATATGACATTCATATTAAAATTTATTTTATCTAGGTATATTTTTTAATCTTTTCTAATTGCAGTATTTAATTAATTGATAACACCTGCTTTCATTTCCAATAACTTCTGGGGTACCTAAGTCTCCATCCTTGGTCCTGTTTTGTTCCTCGTCTATGTTAATCAATTTCCTGATAATCTTACCTCTAAAGTGACTCTATTTGCTAATGACTGTATGCTCCAGTATTTGCTGATGAACTTCAGTCTTGACAAAAAGTCATCATTTTTTGATTGCTAAGAATAAGCAGCCAATCTTGAATCTGATCTCTCTTCTGTGATCACTTGGAGCTTGCAGTGTTTGGTAAATTTTAATTCAAATAAGACTTAAGAAGTTATATACTTCCAAAAATTATTGTTGACATTCCTATATTGATGAACGGCAACACTCTTACTGAGTCCTCTACTATGCATATCAGATTATCATTCTCTACTGACCACTCATGTAAACCATATATACAATCCATTGTTAGATCTGCTCCTCCTGTCTAACATGTGTCTCTTTCCCAACCTTACGATGATAAAAGTTTTTATAATCGTAAGGTTGCATCTCTTCCTCGTTTTACTACATATAATACTATAGTGGTTGCTATTTAAGCGAGGTAAATCACTTTTTCTAATAAAACTCGATTTTGCATGTCTTGTCATATAGATAAGTTGCATCTTTTTACTGTAAATATTCCTGTACCTGTCCCATGCTCAAAAAAGTTTTATTCATCTTTTTTTTTGCACAATAATTGGTGCTTTAGATTTACCATCCCTCTTCATGTTTTCTTGACACATACAGTTTACAGTTTTTTAAGTCTTCTCTTGATTGCTTTCCTGCTCTTTAACTCTCTTATTTGAGTTAACTCTCAACTTAATATGTGCTTGCAACTTTGTAACCCCAAATAACCAAAGTAACCCTAATAACAGTATAAAATTTTTATGTAAACTTTCCATATAGTTTGAATCTTTGTATCAATATAATATTTTATGCTAAATAAACCAATATAATATTTTATGCTAAATAAAGTTAAATAAACCTGTTTAAATCATAAAACAATCCTTGAAGATTCTCTTCAATGTTTTCAGTATTTTTTTTTCATTGAAACTGCTAAAAACTCTAGAAAGCTATTATTACACAATGAACAAGTTTTATTCATCTCTGTACATACTCTCTATTAATGCATTTGTATTGATTATTGATGTTTAAAATTTGAAAATTTTAAAAACACAAAAAGTATGCTAGAAAAAAAATACATTGTATCATACTAATGTTAGAAAATAATAATTTTCATTGCTATGTTTTTGTTTTTTTTAGAATACAAATTTGAAACATTTTGCTGCAAAACAAATATTGCTCATTTAAACATAAGTTTATTAGGTTATAAAAATCAAAAAAATTACTACTGCTGTCTATAAAACTTTCTAAAAACATTTTTTAAACAAACATTAATAGACACAGATATTGTTAATTGACATTGACAATAAAAGCATTTATTAACTCACAGAAAAACGTTTTTCAATGTTGGTTAAGTGTAAAAATATATGTTAATCATAAACTCAATTGATTGGTTTCTCAATTGAAGGGTCTGAGGATAATATTTATTGCTGGCAGAAACTCAAACTTTTTGAGGTGACATTACAAAATGATTTGTGGGACACTTGTTGAAACATCTAACAAAAATGCTACATTGAAATCTATCAGGCTATCCATAGCCTGGCATTATATGGAATATTTTTTGTCTTTTGTCACAGCAACACGGACTTGTTCGCAGTAAAGGTTGTGTTTCTAATTTATTGGAAACATTAGATGAAGTCACATAGTTTTTTTAGATTTTGCCAAGGTATTCAACACATCTTAGACTTTTTTAAAAACTAAAAGCATATGGCATAATTGGAAAACTGTTAAAGTGGATATTAAACTTTCTAGAAAACAGGCAACAACATGTTGCGCTTGGAGAAAGCATTTCAAATTGGGCTAATGTCACCAGCAGTATACCACAAGAAAGTGTGCTTGGACCACTGTTGTTTATAATCTACATAAATGATCTTCCTTCCTTTAACAGGTTTTTTAGGAAGATTTAATGAAAAAAATTTAAGGACTTAAAATACTCAATTATAGGGGGAGTTGGAGCACATTAATACATTTTTCTTTTATAGAATCAAAACAATGATATAATAGTAATAATAAAGCTATTAGAATGTTTATCTAATTAATCTTATTAGAAACAAATTCCATCTAAGACTTATTAAAAAGTTTTAAGAACCATTTAACAAAAAAATGTAATTCTTATCAAACTGCCCCTATCATGGTGTACATTGATACAAGCCAGTGGCAGATTGATTCATAGCAAATATTTATGAAAACTTAAGAAATAAAAAAAAACAAAAAATGTTATATATTTATATTATAAAATTACATCAAAATACATTGTTGTCAATTACTTAAAGAGAAATGTTGTAATAAAACAAAAATTATTTAAATGAAATCTTTTTTATTATCTTTCATCGTAGAGTTTATTCGTAGAGTTTAGAATATATTATATTTATCATATATTATATTCTAATATATTTATCATATTTTCTCTTGAAACTTTAAAATATATTTATCATCATGTTTTCTCTTGAAATTGATAACAATTTTGGCTAAAATAACTGAGGAAATTTGTTCCTAGTTGATGATAATCTATTTGTAAAGAAATTATTTGTATTAAGTTTTTTTTTTTTAATTCCTTATTTGAGTCCACGAATAATGGGTCTTGGTCCATATACATTAATGGACTGTCCATCTATTAAATATTTTGAATTATTTGATAGCATCTGCTCTGGTTCTTCTGTCTTCTAATGTTGCGGTATTTAAAATATTTAGTCTGCTGTCATAATTGGGAATATTTGAAACTAGCTTTGTAGCTTACTGTTGCACTTTTTCAAGTGACTCAATATTGTATTGATAATGCATCACATTCAATACTTTGTAAGCTTTTCATGGATTTTTTCATCACTTTTTACTTGCTGTTTTTATTTTAAATCATACGATATTATGACACCAAGAACTTTTTGTTTGACACTTGTTGCTTTATCAACAAGATTGGATCGTAAATAGCCACACCCATTGTATAGTTCAAGTTTAGTTTTTTTTCCGCAAGGTATTTTTTATATTTTTTTAATATTTTATATTTATTATACATATTTTTTTTAAATTAGGCATTATAAAAATACTCAACCACAGCTTTGACAATTCATTGATATCGTTTAGCGCATTTTGTAAACTATAAGAGTCTTCTAATAATTTTATTGATTGAATTAGTTTTGTGTCATCAGCATATATTTTTACAGGTATTTTTATATGATTTAGTATGTCGTTAATTATATAATAAATTCCTAGTATGCCATCCTGCGATATTCTACTTAAAACATTCTGATTCAAATTGGGCTCAATTCAATTCTGATTTACAATCACCTATAATGATTTATTGCATTTTTTTTTTTAAAGTAAATCTTTAATCCAAGACAAGAACTTTCCAGATATAATAAGCATTAAGTTTTTGCAGCAATCTCAAATGTCGTACTTTAGCAAACGCCTTAGCTAGGTCTAGAAATTTTTTATCCACAACATTGTATTTTATTTATTAGTTCCGTTTGTGATGTGATCTAAAGCTTCTAATAGATTTGTTTTGCGTAAATTTAGTTAATGAGATTTAGTTGTGCTAGATTTTTTACTGTTAGCTATTTGAGTCATCGTCATTTAAAGAAGCATCATTTGATATATCTAAGTTTACTACACTATCTGATGCAATGATCAAAGGTTGTCTGAAAACTCAAAATTGTATTGCTTAGAAAGATATTCAATAACTTCACCTTCAGGTTCTTCTTCCTCACTCCAAGAAAAATTTTAAGTTTTTAATTCCGAGTGTCTATATATATACATATATACAATACTAAGATCATTTAGAAATTGATTTCTAAATGCATAAAAGTAAGTTTCTCTTTAAAAAAATATAAAATTATGTAATCTAAAATAATAATAAATCATTAAAAAATTATTTTATAAAAAAGCAGAAGTAAACAATAATAAACAAAAGAACTCTTCCTAAAATAGTGTCAACATATTTGACAAACGTGTAAAATCTTAAGACATTTAATTTAAGTCTTAATTTAATTTTTGATAAAAATTGAAGTTTAATTTATTTGATCTTTTATTTCTGATGAATCTTTTTATGAAATTCAAGGTAATATGAAAAAATTTGATGTATTTATATATACATACATACACATATATACATACATACATTTTTTTTTTTTTTTAAATCTATTTATTTAACCATAAAATTGCAATAATTACAAATTTATTCATAATTAGGTTCGCTGTAACTCGTATAGTTAAAAACTAGTCATTGGAGTGACACTTTAATAAAATAAACAAAGCAAAAAAAAAAAGTAATAATATAGTGACCAAAAAAAATCAATGAAAAGAAGAACAATAAGTATTAAAAAAGCAAAATAACACAAAATAAGGAAAAAGTAAATGATATGAGAGATAATGAATGAATGAGATAACACAACATTTAACGACTAGAAGGATGATAAAATATAAAAAAAGAAAATCAAAGGATATAGTTAAATATTATGACGAGACAAAAAATATCAAATCACTTAAATTTTAGCAACAAATATAAAAAGCAACAAAAACAAATTAGCAACAACACCACAAAAAAAAAAAAAAAAAAAAAACACGACATAAGCAATACACAAATGTACGCATCAATATAAACGATGCACACAATTACACGACAGTATAAACAAAACATACACGACAGTATAAACAATGCACGACAAAAAATACACGACAAAATAAATACATATATACATACCAACATACATACATTCATACATACATACATACATACATACATACATACATACATACATACATACATACATGCATACATACATACATACATACATACATACATACATACATACATACATACATACATCAGGGCTTAATTAAACAGTCGGACATCGGACATTGTCCGGCTAAAACCTCAGATTGTCCGATCAATTTACAAAGTCATTGGACATTTTGTCCGGCAAGATTTTTAATTCTTTAAAATAAAATTTTTTTCGTTGATTTGAAACTGACAAATTTAAACTTAATGTAAACTATTAGACAAACTTATAAAATATGTTGATAATGGAGGCATTCATTCCCAAAAAAAGCGCTGTTATTAATTGTAGTTTTAATGACTGTTCTTTAACAGTTTTATTGTTATATTATTAAATTTAAAATTATTGCTTATTTAAAGCGATTGCAAAAGTCAGAGTATGTTCGATTGATTACTGCAAACGCCGCGGACACTGAAAAGCAAAGAAAAGCTAGCAGTTTGAAAAATTTGATAATAAAAGATTTTACAAATGTGTTTTTTTAGAGGCTGAGATCTCATCGATGGAATATTTTTAAAAAAACATTAAGAAAATATACATTAAAATATTAACGTTATAATCATCCAAATCATTCTATTTTAGCTTGAGCGGTTTCTCGGTGACATCCTGGTCCTACTTGAGTTTTCCGATTCTTTATTTATTACTCGTTTTTTAAACTATATCTTTATTTGTATTTATATATATATATATATATATATATATATATATATATATATATATATATATATATATATATATATATATATATATATATATATAATATATATATAATATATATATAATATATATATATAATATGTGTATATAATATATATATATATAATATATATATATATATATATATATATATATATATATATATATATATATATATATATATATATATATATATATATATATATATATATATATATATATATATATATATATATATATATATATAAAAGATTAAAAAGTTCTAGCTTTATAAAACTTGTCTGCCAAAGAAGGAGTGTCTTTTTGAAAAGTAGATAAATAATAACCTGTAGAACTCATACAATTTTCTTCGTTGAATTGATCGAATTTTAATGACATGCAGCGCGTGGAATTTTTAAATTAAATAATAGCCCGTAAATGTTATATTGTGTTTGATTTAACCGCCTTTAAATAAGTAAAAGCGAAGTTTAAATTTTTTATATCATGTTTAAAAATAATATGTTTATCTTAATATTTAATATATTAAAGACATTATTATACTATATTACTATAACAAACTTGTTTTCTTGCCGTTTTTACTATTGATAAAAATAGTTACATGAACGCCATATAAATACCTTTTTGGCGCTAAAAGTGGAGCTTATGCGCAAAATTGACACTTAGCATATATTTTTTAAGTAAAAAAATTTACATAACTTTTATAAACCGGTAATGCAATTCAATGTAAACTAACAAGGTTTTCGAGAGAAAAAAACTCAATAAAACTTCAAGTCTATCTAAAAAAATGCGCAGTATTAAATTTAAACTATTTCATTTAAAATGCAAAGATCTACGATGATAAAAATTCTGAATATTAAAAAAAAAAAACTACAACTTCACTAGCCTAAAATAAAATAAACTGGGAAAACATAAAATATATTTCGATTGGATAATTGGGTTCCGTAAAACTCAGATGCGCCAGAAGCTAGTCTAAAAAAAACCCATCTGCAATACTTTTTTACTCTCGGCATTTAAAGAACTATCTTTTTCCTGTGTTCCTTTTAACTAAACAAATATGAATATATGTAAATATTGGTAAAAATTATTTGTTTAAATTTTATTTCAAAAATTTGATCGGACAATGTCCGACCAAAATAACTTTTAGTCGGACATTTTGTCCGGGACCTTATAAAAAATTAAGTTAAGCCCTGCATACATATATATACATACATACATACGTACATAAACTTTTTAAATTAAAATTTATTTTTCGTTCCTATGGCTGTGAGTAATTTGTTAAATCTAAAATTGTTAAATCTATGTTTAGGTGAAACTTCCTGGTGAATGGGATACAGATAAGGCTATACTGGAAATGGGTGGAGTATGTGTAAACCATAGTCAAAGATGATATAATTATATATATATATATATATATATATATATATATATATATATATATATATATATATATATATATATATATATATATATATATATATATTAATATCTTCAAAATCTTTATTTAAAATATTTGCAGATGTGCAAAATAAATTGTGATTTAGATTTAATAAAGTTTTACTTTTTGTAAATGAATCTTATTATTTATTTATTTTATATAACTTACAATGTTACTACTAATTAAACACTTACTTTTAAATAAGAAAATCTTTACTAGGTACATAAATAGTGATTATTATAAATTTTGTTAATAACAGTGATAATAAACGATGGTGGCAAAGATAAAATTTGATCTTTTTACTGGGGAGCAACCATTTTGCACAAGTCATTAAAGAGCAATAGAAAAGTAACCAATTTTTTCGCGTCATTAGCAGTTCCGAATAAATTTTTAAAAACAGCTTGTCATTTAAAAAGTTTTTGTTTATTCATTTTGTTATTTAATTCTTTTAACTTTATGAATAACTCTGGTAATGTTATTGATTTGTTAACTTTTTGCTTGACTTTACTTGTCTCCTCAATCCTTACAGGCTTGTTAAGCGCTGCATGGTGCAAAGGAGAAAGCTTATATTGAGATTTCTATTCAACTCTAATTCTTTCAAAGTAGAGTTGAATAGAAATCTCAATATATTCTCAAGTTGGTACGTACTAAACCTTGGTTTACATTTTTTATTTAAGAGTTATAATTTTAATTTGCCATTTTTTAAATTGGAAGTTTTAAAAACTAATTAAGATCATTAAATAACAACGATATTATACATTCTATCATAAACGATGGTATACATACTATAACAACGATATTATACATTCTATCATAAACGATGGTATACATACTATAACAACGATATTATACATTCTATCATTAACGATGGTATACATACTATAACAACGATATTATACATTCTATAATTAACGATGGTATACATACTGTAACAAGTATAATAAACAATAATGAAAATTCTGAACCGGCAACTAATATTATACAAAAAAAAATTGTAAACACGGGGATTTGAGATTATAACATTCTTAATATTATAGCAACTTGTTAGAGATAATTGTTCGATTTCCGATGTTGGCGGTGAGGTCTTAAAAATTGAAATAATAAACCAAAAATTTTAAAATATTTTTAACCCCGCTTGAATGTGATACAATGAAATATTCAAATTATCTAAAACAAATTTCTAAATAACATACATGGCGTTAATATTTGCCAGATTTGCTCCCGATTGCCAGTTTGTGCGAGTATTCACACTTACAGTCATAGTAAATGGAAACCATGTAAAAGGTTTTTGCGAGTGGTTTCTATCGGTACAGACATTTTGCGTTTAACTTGAGTTCGATTTACAAGAAAACTAAGCTTGTGGATTATTAGCTATGCAAATTACAGTGTGCTACACACACTGTAATTTGCATAGCTGTTTGAACAGCCTAGCTTTAGATATGTTATGGATTGAATAGCTAATCTTAACTATATCCTAAACCAATAGATTAATTTAATCTTAAACCAATATAATAACTTAACCTTAAACCAATAGAAATACTATATACATCTATATACACACTAATTTATTCAAAAAAAACGAGCATAACTTTAAGAAAGGTGCCATTTTATTGATATTTTTGTGACAGGTAATATTTAAAAAAACTAATAAAAATAAATTATTTTTATATTTTGAAATATGCTTTTTTATGAAGGTTATATAAAAATATTTTGAAATGATATAAATAAAATCCAAGTCTAAAAAAAAAAAAATAATTTGAATAAATATAATTTATTCGAGATATGATCAAAATGCAAAAGGATTTTCAGAAATAAAATGAAACCAAGTCATAACATCTGTGATACCTATTTTGAAATTTACAATACTTACTTGGAAGTAAAGCCATGTACTTAGATAACTTAAACACAAACATCAAGGTTTTTAATAATCTGATACCTTGTATCAGATGTTTATTAACTTTGAAAAACAAACTACAAAATGCTTTAGTTATTGAATATGCAACATATAAATGGATATTATTGAATATAAATGAGAAAAACATTTAAATCTGTAAAAAAAGAAAATTTGTGAACGTTCCAGTTCATTACTTATATAATGTAACATTATATTCAAATAGTCGTTTGAATATACCAATTATAATTACTTAAATAGGGGAAGGTTGGCGTAAGTTAAAAAATGTTTTCAGTGTAATGTATTATGCTCCCAAAAGATTACAAAAAGATATATATTTTTTTAAGAATAATGATAATTTTATCTTTCCTCTCAAAGAATATAAATGAATAGTTCGTTTAAAAAAAAAATCTGTATATATATGTGCGTTTTCTTCAACACACCCAATCATTTTATCTTAGGAAACTAGTTTCCTAAGATGAGCTTTTTTTTATGGAACTCAAAATAACAAAAAAATAATCACACAAAATAGTAAAATAAAATTTCATCTTCAAGGACTATACTTAAGTAAAAAGTAATTATCTCAACCATAAATAAAAACAATAATAAATATTTATCTATAAAAAAGTTAACGATACTAATTTTTAAAAATACTTTCGCTTTTGAAATACCATAATAAAGCTCCCCGGAAAATTAATTTAAAAAACGCGCTTTTCTTAATAAAACGCCGCATCTCATCTAGAGCGTCTAAAAACGTATCCTCTTAAGCAACTTCATTAAGTACTATCATAATTTAAATAGTATGACAACAGCTTATGCATTATCTCATGTAACCCATAGAATTAGCAGTAGATAAGCATAAAATATTCATGATGTAATAAATTTTTAATGATCTTGTTTCGTTCGACGTAATTACAAAATATTGAGTAATAAAAAATTATAACGGGGATAGTAAATTTTTTTAACAGTAAAACAATCAAAGAATATTTACTATACAACCCAGAAATTAAAATAAATAACACCGTCAAACTTGTATGAATATCCTTAACTTATCCTTAAATTATCGTAACTTTTTCAGAAATTCATGAATACGAAATGAAACAGAAAAAAACACAAAACAAAAATATAAAAGTAAAAATAATAATTAATATAAACAGTTATGAAGATCTAATTATAAAAAGATAAAACTTGGAACTTTAAAAACTTTCAAGCATTTTTTTTTTCTCATAAAGCCTGCTAACCTCAGTCAAATAAAATAAAAAGTAATATTTAGTGTTTTTGAATTTCCAAACTCAATAATGCAGAATAAACATAAACTTACTTCTTAAAATGATCTAATTACATTTCTCGGTTAAACGTGGACATCACTGATGTGTAGCCAGTTGATTTGCCAGATTTGCGTGTTTACACTTGTAACTTGTAACAGATTTGCGTGTCTAAACTTGTAACAGTTACACGTTACAAGTTACAATATTTGTAAACATTTTTTTATACTGTTTTATGTATATACTATTTATACCTGCTATTAAATATTATAGTTACAAAATATATTTTATCAACTATAAAATTTTTTTAAAAATTTTTAAAATGTCAAGTGACAAATAAATAAAAATTTTTATATCACTTACATTTTGACATTTGAGATAAAGTCTTAAAAAATAGTTGTTTTTTTTTTTTAAATCAACTAATTAAAAAATATTTTTTAAAAATGGCTGCCTTTTCTGAAAACTAGTCAAAAAGTCACATAGAAACATCAAACATAAACTCATACTTATCCTTTACTTCATTTATAACAAAATTCCACAAATGGTCCTTAGTGTGTTAGGTCAATATTTATTTAGAGATTTTAAACTTAATTGATTATTTTAGGTTTTAAGACTTTTTGAAAATCAAAAATTTCAATTTTTACAAGAAAAAATTTGATATCTCAAGATATATTACTAACTTCCAAAATCTCTACCTAAAAAGAAAGATATTAATACAAGTATCAATTTCAAATGTAAAACTGTGTGCATAGAAGAGGTAACATAGTGGTTTATCGAGCATTTTTTTGTAGACATTTATTATGATTTAAATAATACAAAAAATGTGTAGTACCAGGTCAACTTATAATTCTACTCATGAATTCTTAAAAATATTTGTAAAGCACAATAACAATCACATCCCATTTTTAAAACAACAAGTATAAGTAAAAATGAAGAACTTAACACCAAACATTTAAAATATAGAAATGAAGAAACTTAAATAATTATAAAAATTTCAAAAATTTATTTGAAAAAATAAACGAAAAGTCATTACTCAAAGCAGGGTGTGGAGTCGTAAAAAAAAAGTAACTACTCCGACTCCGACTCCAGTTGTTAAAGTTTTTTGAGTACAACTCCGACTCCACAGCCCTGACTCAAAGCAAATAAAAAGAACGACTGGTTTCAAACAAAATACGAGGCATAATAATTGAGAACAAAAATAATAAATCAAATAGTTTACTTGCTCAAATCATATTAAACAATATAGAGTTCAGTGACATACATAAAATATGTCCGGAGTCATCCATTTTTATCATATCGTCGGGGATAGTGCAAATCCGCGCATTGGCTTTATATTTGGATATTATTAATTTTAACACAAAATATTTATTGTTTAGATTACAAAAAAACATGAATAATACTCTTTATACTAAAATGAACCCAAAACTATTTTAAATAAAAAATATATAAAGTTTTAAACTTCTCCAGTAAAAAAAATGTAATGTAGATACGCGGTATTATCCAATGCTAGTTACGCGGTTTTGCACTATCCCCGACGATATCTAAATAATGTCTGTAGTTGTCCGAAATCACATCTAAGTAATTTTCGGAGCAAACTAACTACCAATAATTCAACATCGCTCTATGTTACTTGAAATTAAAGTTATATGGTAGATCAGGGTAATATGAGCACCTTAAGCGAAAATTAAAATATTTTCAAAAATAAATATGCTGGATATAAAATTTTTGCGAATAAAAAATTTTTAAGGATCCCTACTCATGATCCATTTAGATATTTAGGCACCCGACATTTTTTCTTAAAAACACAGAGGTTTTAAAAAAGTAGCAAAAATGCTCGTATTTCCCAGACCCCTTGGTAATATGAGCACTTTAAATTAGCTCAAAAAAATAGCATTAATTAAGTAAAAAAAGACCAACCTGATTAAAAGAACTAATTTTTGGAATATAATGATTCGTGATTAACAAAACTTATCATTAAAAGATCAAATTTTAAGCTACATTTTGTTGAAACAAAATTTATATGTTTTCCGCAACAACAACAAAAAAAATTAATTTGTTATTTTTTCAATTTTATTAACTCAAGCCTTTGAACGATAAAAATTCAAATTTTTTAAATTTAAGTTCAGAAAAATATTTAGTATTGTTAAAATATTAAAATTTTTTACTATGTTTTGTTTTATTCAAGAAGCAATTAAAAACCACTGCTATTTTAGGACTTTAAACTAAGTAATTTCAATGAAAAACACTGGGTAATTTGAGCATGCTCACATTACA